GACTGTGGGAAATTTGGCCACACACACTTTAAGTGGACATCCAGATAACTACCGGTAAGTCATGGTAGACCATGGATATTGCCGGACCAGAGAGTGCTGGACTAGAGTGGTTCAGCCTGTACCCATATACACATCTGCCAATTTGCTATTTATGTATGCACAGAATATGTATGCACAGAATCCTTATTTTAGTGTCTCCCATTTAGTGCTCATTGGAACATTTTTAGATGATATTTATGGAAATTGAAGGGATGTGAAAAATTCTAAACAGCCGAAAGCAGTTCATAACAAATAAGTGAGCAAAAGAGAGCAGTTAAGAGGTCACACATTTCATGATGCTGTAAGGCACAACTTTTTTTCCCATAACATTTACAATGCCAGCCTCTTAATTAATAAGGTTATGTATACTATCAGTGAAATAGCAATTGGTTTTTATGTTACATTAAAAATACAATGGAAATATACATTCAGTATGTCATTAGAACATAGCCTGTTCCATTTTAGCTGGATGTAGCTTACCCAGACATTTCTACAATTGGATAAAATAGTTTTCTCACACAAAAGTAACCTTCTGCGCAACTTGTGCTGTCATTCAAGATTTACTCTGAGGATATTTATCAGATCCTCTATGGCGACTTTGCCTCCCATGGCAATCTTTTGATCTCTCATGGCATCTAGTCTGCACTCTTGCGAATAGCCCTTCCTATCATGACACTTTCCTGAGCTGTACTGGGAACTTCCACACCCTCATTTTGAGATTTCACTCTTCTTTTTCCACATTCTATTTCTCTTTCTTTCTTGTATGAATGCTGGCTAAGCTGGACAAATGGCCATTTGCTTGATGAATTTGCATTAGCTTGCCTGTGCTCTGCAGGTCAGGTTTTCAATGACGGTTATCTAAACTGTGCATGCAGAGGGCATCTACTTAAAGTCACCCACTGAATCTACCTCTGCTCCAAGCATAGGAACAGGGACCCAGATCTTCAAAAATATTTAGGTACCTAATTCCTCCTGAAATCAATGCAAGTTAGGTGCTAAATATGTTTGAGGATGTGGCCCAAGGTAACTGAGAATCAGGCTTGTGGTCTTTCTGACTTAAGAGTGGGTAACAAAAGAACTACACTGAATGTAATCTCCATCTAAATTCTTTATACAATATTTATTACTCAATATTTTACATCCTTAAACTGGCTCAATTCACTGTTCTAAATTGCTGGTAGTCTGTGAATGGGAAATCTCTATGAATGGAGATAAATGCTCTTGGGAGGATCACTTACTAAAATCTATTTTCACTTGAAAGCATTGTAACATATGTGCTATGGGAGAAAAAAACCCATCTTTTTCAAGCATTGTAACATATGTGCTATGGGAGAAAAAAAAAAACATCTTTTTCAAAAAGAATACACAGTAAAACTCCAATAGTCCGGCATCCAATAGTCTGGCACTCCTGATAGTCCGGCATCAAAATGGCAAGAGCCTAGTGAGTGAGCTTCGGCAAAAAATGAGTCACAAGGTAACAGCGGCAGCAGCTGAACTGAGTAAAAAGGGTAAAAAAGGCTTAAAAAACCTAAAACCTTATAGTATACTGTATACAGTATGTACAGTAAAAAGGGTTACGAACACTTTATACACAGTATATAATGTATACAGTATATATATAACCAGCTTATAGTACCTCCTGATAGTCCAGCATATCTGATAATCCGGCACCATCTACATCCCATAGGTTCCGGATTATCGGAAGTCTACTGTAGTATGTCCATTAGCACGGGAGATTAAAGATGGCCTTATGGAATGAGGTGTAACAGTTAACTCGAACTCGAACTAAGTCCTTAGTTCAAGTTAATGTTTGACTGCTGCGTGTAGCTGTGGGCAGTTAGTTCGGACTAAGGGGATTTAAAAATGGCGCCCGGACGGGAAGATGCAAATAAAGCCCGGGATATTTAAATCCCGGGCTTCATTTGCAACTTCGAATGCCTACATTAGCCTCCCTAGTTCGAACTAGGGGGCTAGTGTAGACATATCCTGAGGGAGTTGGGATGAAGCAGGTGGTTGTGACTTAAAGCAGTGGACTGAAGTGCAGGGGTTTGGGATGTGACCTAGGGTAGGAGGGGACTGTGATCTGGGGCAGGAGATTGGGGTGCCAGATCTGGGAGGGGGCATGGGTGTAAGAGGGGGACAGAAGGTTTGGGTATATTGAGTGGGGGGGGAGGGCAGAGCAGGGAGTTGGGGCAGGAAAGGGCTGAGGTACCAGAAGCAGGCTGTGGCTAAGAGACATACTTGTCAGCTGCCAAACTAGCCTGCCTGCCTGCAGAGCTTAAAATGTTTCCCAGCCAACCAGCCTGCTTTCCTGGACATGTGCTTCATGGACAACTGAGCCGAGGAGAAAGGGTGTGATTCTTCTTAGCTGTCTGTTATTCTAACAAGCAGCTCACAATGGCTGGTTTCTGTCAGAAACTGGCCAATGGGAATGTGCTGGGGATGGGGGGGCTCCTAAAACTTCCCCCCTCCCCTCCAGTTTCAAAACAGAAAGGGAGCTCTGCAGCCATTTTTCTGCATGGCACACAGGGCTGCAGGGCAAGCGGGGAGCCTGCCTGGAGCTCCCCGCTGCCTCCATGGGCCGGATCCAGGGGCTTGGCAGGCCGGATCTGACCCATGGGCCGTATTTTACCCAGGCCTGCCTTATAGTAAAGTCTCCCAGTCCCATGCCAAGAGATTTGAGTTCTATTCACAGCTCTGCCTTGAACTTGTTATGGCTATGAGACTAGTATGTCTCTCAGTCACACCAGCAGAAATCAGGAGCAACTCCACTTAAATCAGAGTTATATTGGTGTAAATTAAGAATGAAGCCTCCATATTCCAGCCACTATCATGGCGATATTAATACTTCTCTAAAGCACTAAGATTCTGTAAAGCTTTGTTCATGAATGTTTGTAGGTTGGATGAAAGGTCCTACTATAGTGCTGAGAATTAATATGGTCCCTGTCTGTCTAAAGATGCTGTGCTAATCTCATATCTACTATAAAATATATATTTAAACATAGCAATGCTATGAATTTACACACATTTGTGTATATAGGTACCATATAATATTCATAGATCATCAGATGACCATAGACCATCTGTCAATACATGACAAAAAGACAACTCATCAGGATATTTAACTTGTTCTAGGAAAAGCACTGCCTCTGAAATGACTTTTCACTATTAACTGTGCTGATGGATTTTGCTGTTGTGGCCTCTAAAATGACTTTTCACTATTAACTGTGCTGGTGGATTCATTTTTCATACTCATTATATACCCAATGGATTTCTGCATTGTACTTTCCAGGTAGTTTCTCGGAATAAATTATAATTGACATTACGGAAGAGGAAGATGAACTTTCGAGAAAGTATGGAATTTAGGTCTAGGGAGCTCTAGAGCCAATAAGGGAATGAGCTTTAATTGGTTAGTCTTATAAACAATGACCGAAAATATAAATTACAAAATCTTGTCTCCTTCCAGCAGAGCTGGAGTATTTCAACAGGCTTATCTGTACTCAGCCAAGGTAAACTGGAGGTCATGAGGCAGTAGAAAAACAACTCTTCCAAAAGGGTCCAAAAGAACATGCATGATGGTATAGCATGTGGCCTCACCGAGAATAAGCAAAGTAGAAACCAAATCATGTGGATTCTGTTAATAAATGTTAAATATTTGTTTATTTTTTTGTTTAAGATAGGCAGTGCTGCTGCTGTCTAAGTAATGGCTCTTTAGGGATATGGAGGAAGTGGGTTGGAAAGTGATATCCATTAACTCTACTAGAGTCTGGTGGCAGCCTACTTAATTTGGCTAGTTTTTTTGGCAAGGGAGGACTCAGCCAACAAAGACATGACATTAATTTACATTAAAACATTTTGGAGAAATGCAGGTTGACTTGACCTTTTAGAATACACCATGTTTTATTACCACATTTTAAAATCCAGCTTAAAAACCACCTACTACACTTCAGTATGCTCATATTTTTCTATTTTATAAACATCTTTTCATGTCATCTTAGCTTGACTTTCAGTAGTAAGCAGCACCCGTTATGGCAGAGCTTCTAAAAATAGCTTTTTAATAATCAAGAGGAATAATCAAAATATTTCTAAAAAATCTAGAGATGTTCTTCTGTTTGATATTTTTCTGTAAACAGGGAGACAGGAAGAGAAGAAGGGAAGAAATTAAGGCAGGCATCACAGTGTCTTGTGTTAACATAACCCATATTGTACAGCAGTGCATTGATGGTTAACTGGCTGCCTGTGATTTATGGCTATCATGAATATCTGGTCCCTGATCTACTTAACTGATACTCACACAGCCTAGACTTGCATAAAAATACTGTATAAAATCAACTTCAAAGTTATTTAAGCAAGTGGTTCATCTGCGAAAAAAAAGCATTTTTAACTGGAAAATATTTTTCTATAGCTGATCAAAGTTAAGTCTAACTACAGACTGATTATGATTACTACTTTTACTGTTTTCTTTGGTCCCTGTGTACTATATTTTTTTTAAAGACAATAAAAAAGAACAAATGTAAAAAGCAAATATTTTGTACAAAAATACAAAGTTTTAAAAGCTCTTAAAAGTATATCCCATATTATTGATAAGAACTTGACTATATATATATTTATATAAAATCTATATACTATATATGTGTATCCGTATAATTTTCCTATATTTGGGATTTTAGCAAATGAAATGTACTGTTTTTACTGTAGCTTTATATGTATTTCCTACTTGCTTCCCACTGTAGCTCAATGACCAAGAGTCTTACTCAGACTGCTATATTTCATGTTTTGAAGACAAAACTCATAGTTGTATGGAGATGGACAAAAATATGTAACTGATTCAGTCCAACTGCATTTCCAATAAATGCACTGTGCTATGGGTCTAAAATCCTTGAATAATCACAAGATGGCGAAGATGAGTTGCTGCTGAATTTTTTTTTGCATTATGCCAGTTTTCAGTGCTTCCTTCTCAATTTTGTTAGGAGATGATGACCCATAAGATTTTTAGTAATCTGTATTTGTGTCCATAAATTCATAACTTGTTATAATCCAGGTGCCTAAACTACAAGAGAGAAAAAAAAAGGGAACATCGGTGTAAGGCTTGTAAAGGTAAAATAAATGATCAGCAAAGAGGTTTATTGAATTCAGAGAACCTTGGAAAATTCTCTCATATCAGTCTTGGTTTTCACGGAATAGAACTTTTAAAAATATGACCCATATTCAGATACTGTACACCAAGAACTAATATTTTCAAAACCTGAAGTTCAACTAGTGTAATACATATTAATCTATGAAGAAACGAGAACTCTGCATAGAAGCAGTGCCTCACTCTGCACACACAGGATTAATCATATGAAGAGTGTACAGATGTTTTTGTGGGTGCTATCTAAGAGCCAGTATCTGAAAGTTTGGCTCCAGCTGGGCGTTTCTACCACATCCTATGAAATTCTACCTATGCAATCACAGCAGCCAGGGATTCATGACAAAAAATATTCTGAGGGGAAAAAAAGCTTTATTTAAACAATTAATGTTTCCGGCAGGCTGTAAAATAACTTCTCTTTAAAGAACGAAATAATCAGAACAAAAATATAATGAGCTCTAGTAGTGATCATGGACCAGAGCCCTAAGAAGCTCTGTGGAGCAATGGGGTTCTATGGCGAGTGCATCCCTCAACCTTGAAAGAGACTCTGTAGTGTTTATGTTTTTGCTCAGTAAAAGAATCTGTGATTTCAGCCCTGCCCAGCTGCCATTAAGTGATACTGAGCTGTCAGCTAAAGAACTTGGACGAGGCCTACACTCCTGCCCAGCAGACAGAGTGAGTGGGTGTCAGTTGAAGGAGAGAAGCCCAGCAGTTGCCAAACACTTCCCGGCAGCAGGGAAGTGTTTGGCATGTGTTTAGCCCTCGTGCTTGCTGGGGTGAGATCTGCATAGAGTTGCTACAGGCAATAGAGTTCTCATTTGTGAGAAGCCCACACTGCCTGTAAATCAGCTCCACAGTACCTGCCCAGAGGGTAGGGGTCTCTAGAGCCCTGCATGGATACAAAATTTGTATCCACCTCTACAAAAATAATCTGCAGGTAAACCACATCCATGGATAGAAACCAGACATCCACGGATTTGCAGGGCTCTATGGCTCTCCTCTCCTCAAGCTGTGCAATCGTGGCTCTTTGTGACTATGATTAAACTCTTTTAACTGAACATCTAGCTTACCTTTGTCCATGTCTTTCTCACAAATAAAATTGTTAACATCTTCACATTGAAAATCATTCCAGAGCCCAGCAGAGATCAATCCAGCACAGTCTTCTCCTGGCCCTTGCCCTGTACTCCAGTTATCAGGTTGCCCACTTTTCCAGTTTCTTTCAATAAAATAAGAAGTGGATGTTAAGTAGCCTCACATGATACATGCACAACAAACGAGATTAGCAAAAAACATCATGAGATCGGCTCTGAACTGGAAATATGCTCTTCAACAAACATTACAAGACGCCTACTGAAAATAAAAAACAGATGTGTTGCAGAGAAGGAAATCTACTCGGCCTTTGCACGTGAAGGCTTAAAGCTTAAAATTCAAGCAATTAGCTCTATTTTGGTTCGTGGATATATATATGCAAGTGTGAGGAGAGTGCATGCCATATGCACATGGCACCATTGCTCCACTGTGTACATCTAGTTCATTTTTACTGGCAAGCGGTACTGAAACATCCAACAGTCTTCTGGTGGGATTTTACATTATTTCAATACCTTGTCTGCTAAAAAGAACACAAAAGGGACACAGCAGAGAAAGGTGGCAAAATAGGCACCTGTAATTGCAACTCAGATCCTGCCTTGATTGTGATGGACCTCTCTAGCTGCAAAACCTCAACTTATCTATCTTTTGTAGACCTCAGTTTGGATGGGAAATGAATGTTCAGACTCAGAAGAAATTTTTTAAAAGTTGGCTTTATTTGGAGGCCAGTAACCTTGACAGTGAAATTTGACACAGTACTTAGTACCCTTGCTAGATGAAGCAAAACTCTCAATTCTGATTTCATGTAATAAATGAGATGTGTTTCCAATCTCAAAACTTAAAAGGTCAGTTTTCTTAAAGAAACAGGTTGTTGAATAGAAGCTTGTGGTTGTTGTCTGACATGGTGCCATAAGCAGCTAAATTATATGCCTGCCTGATACAAAGAGCCTGCCCAAGTGTCTGGGAAGAAATACAGAGTTCCAGAAATAATGAATCACAGACAGTGACTGACAGTTCTGAGGTTACCAGATGACCTTAAAGACACAGCACAAGAGAAATCTTTGGTGACAGAGACCATGGGTTTGCTGTAGCCAACTGAAGTTGAGAGAGAATAATGGTAGGATTTACCAAAAACAAAGTAGCCACAAATTAGAGCCCTGCAAATCATTTATAACAAACAACAATGATTTTTTCTCGTGCACTGCATGCTGAGATTTATAGTCACTATGGTTCACTCCACTGCATTAAAAATTAGGGTGGCTGCATCCTGCTCTATTTAATACCAATTTGGTGTATCTCTTGGATTCCTGGCTACCTGCCAATGTAGCTCTCAGGTAAGTGAAGTTTGGACATCCTTGCTTTAGACCTTCTGCTTCTGTTTAATACCTTGAACTTGTTTGGGTTTTGGTAAGAATGAGCTCTCTGTTTATGGCCAGTTGTAATACAAGCAAGGAAAATTTAAACCAAAACCAAAATGCCAACTGGCCTTTCCAACTGCCACTTTGTAAAAACACTGGCAAGCAATTCCATGCTGTGCGGTTATCTGATTCTTTCATTCGATATTCTATTTTCTATTTTCCTTTTGGCAAGGAAATAAAGGTTTGTGCCTGGAAAGAGGAGGTGGGAGATAGGGGTGGGAAAAACAATATCAACACCACTTCCAGATAAAGTATTGCTTCACTGGCATCCAGTAACTCATCTCTAGATACTGCAGATCTCTAGTAAAGTAGTGGCAAGAACAGTAGCACCCTGCAGAAAATAAACAACACGGTTCTTTTCAACACTTACGTGTACTCTGGTAAGGTTCCATCCAGCCATCTCCACTCATTCTCTTGGTCTGTATCTGTGAGTCCAATCCAGAAGCTACCTTTCCCAGCAATCTGTCTTTTTACCCATTGCTGTAAGGGACAGAGATCTGTGATTTCAATTGTCTGTTTCTCAGAGTGCACAATTACTTGCTTTGCATAGATTTTGCTTTTTGAAGATAGAATAAGAAAAGTGTTCTTCCTCTTCTCATTCCCAAGGCTCAATCACTTCACTCCTTTCTTGGTTACCTCTCCTTTCTAGTTTTGGGTCTTACCTGCCTTTGTTCTCACTCCTGTGTATGCTGCTTGTGTAACCCACACATCTGCTGGATGTGGCATACTATCCCATTTAGTGGCACCAAGTCCACTTCGGACATGTCTACACTAGGAAATAATTTCAAAATAAATTATTTTGAAATAATAACTCCTGAAATAACAGTTTTGAAATAGTGCTGTTCCTCATGACAAGCAGGAGTTATTTTGAAATGACAAGTCTATTATTTTGAAATAAAGGGCTGGGTAGTGTAGACACTTATTCTGAAATAACTCCCTAGTGTAGACCAGGGCTTACAGAGAGAATAATGAGTCTGCTCTATAGCCTTAGCTACCTTAGCTGGCTTTTAGCTCATTCAGTAGAGGCTCATGCTCTGAGCTTCAGAGGTCGCAGGTTCAATCCTGTCTGTCAAATGTTAAAAGTGGGGGCATTGTCCAGGATTTCAACAGGGATGTATTTGAAGTTTGGGACCCACTTCCTCAGCTAGGGTGAAGTATGTAACTCCCACAGCTGCTGGGTGTGGTGCACTGTCTCATGTAGTGGCTCTGAGTCTACTTACAGAGAGAAAAATGAGTCTGCTCTATATCTTCAGCCCATGAAGTAAAACTAAGCTAGAGAGGTCCCAGGTTTGATTCCACCTGTTGTCATTATACTGAACAATTACACTTTTATCCTTACACTGAAATGACAAAAAGCATCCCCATAGGCTCAATGGCACTGTTTGTCTGTGAATAAAAACGTCCTGTGAGAAGTGGGTATTTGGAAGGCTACCACCAATGGTATTTTTTAATTAAGAAAAAATAAGCAGTTATTCATTATTGCACCACTCCTGCATAGCAAGGGTATGTTTGGCTACCAAACAATTATAGCAGATAATAATGTAAGATATGGTTATCATCTGCTATTGCTGCTCTCCCTACAGATGATCTATAGATCATAATAAAAGCTTAAGTTGTCTATCTTAATGATTGAATTTAAAAATAACTATTTGCAACACAGAACAAATGTATTTCAGATAATCTGCCACTGGCAAAGGGCTTGATTCTGAAAGGCACCAAGTGCCTACAATTCCCACTGAATTTGCAGTGGCAGGCATTTAGCACTTTCAGGATTAGGCCCACTGCCTCCTACATTGTTCTTTTTCTCAATAAGGGGGTGTCTACACAGCCCCGCTAGCTCGAAATAAGCTATGCAACTGGAGCTACACACATTGTATAGCTTATTTCGAGCTAGTCTATTTAGAAATTTGGTGCTGTCTACACAGCGCCAAGTTTCAAAATAGACTGCTATTCCAACAAGTCCCTTACTTCTCATGGAACAAGGTTTACTGGTATGTTGGAATAGCAAGCGTGTAATTTTGAATGCATTTTGAAACAACGGGCAAGCTGTTAAGATGCAGAAAATGCAATTTCGGAATACTGGATGTATCCCGAAATAGCGCCGCGGTTTAGGCGTATCCTAAGTGCTGACATGGGAGTACAACATTGGGAGTGGGGTAACTCAGTGTGTTAATTTCACCATATGAATTCATGAAGTTCTCAACTTCCTTACTGCCATGTAATTTGCAGACTCAAAGTACCTTCAAACCTTATAGCTTTCAGAAAAGCAGCATGTTATTTACCTGCTCCTCTCTGTTGTTTATGATAACCAGATGTGAGGACTTCTCCTCACAGAAAACTTTTGCTTCTTCAAAGACCTCTCTTTCAGATGAAAAGTAGTAACACTTTCCTGTAAAGTTCTTCCAGTGAGCAGGACAACCTGTGACATGAAACTGTGCTGTTAAACTGGGGATTTTAAACTGTCCTAAAGCATGGTCAGATCTGAAATTCTTAGGTGCTGAGCCAATGAAAATGCACCTACTGGAAAGCTGCCCTGCATTGTAGAACATAGCTTAAATTGCATGCCTAGAGAACTGCTCATTATTCATTGCAATGGTGCCATCTCTTTAGAGATGATGCATTTTAATCAAACTCCAGAGCAGCTGAAAGAAGTCAGGCAGACACAACTTTGCTAGGGGAACCTGTGGTCAACATTAAGAATCTTTGAGAACTGGTGGGTCTAAGGAAAAGTTAACAGAGATTAACACTAGCCCACAATCATAGTGGTAGGTGAAATAAAAACACCTATTTGGGCAGATGGGCCTATCAGTAGAAAGTAGGTGGGTGAGTAGATAACTTACCATTAGCCTCAGGTGTTGATGTCGGCTCACTTTGCAGTGCCATGGGCATCCCTGGACCTGGTGGCCCAGGAGGCCCAGGGGGCCCAGGCAACCCTGGCACGCCAGGCAGACCAGGCAGTCCTCGAGGACCAGGTACCCCTGGCTCTCCAACAGTTCCTTGCAGTCCTTGAAATCCTGGTGGACCTGGTGGACCTGGAGGACCATCTTTGCCAGGTGGTCCCGGTGGTCCTGGGTCTCCATTAGGTCCTGGCAGACCAGTCTTGCCAGTAGAACCTCTCTGACCTTTGGAACCAGGTGATCCTCTTGAACCTTTCCCACCTTTTTCTCCTGGTGGCCCGATTGGCCCAACTGGGCCCTTTTCACCAGCAGGTCCTGGTGGCCCTGGCTCACCCTTTTCTCCTTTCTGCCCTTTTAGGCCAGTGGGACCAAGAGGCCCTTGGGGTCCTCTGTCACCTTTAGGTCCTCTTGGACCTGGAGGTCCTGAAATAATTAAAACATGTAGAGGAGGGAAACAAAAACCAGGAAGAGTGTTCAATATACCAGAGATTAAAATCATGTGGACATTCAATACCCTACATGCAGTAATAGAGCCCAAGAAACTTGAGTTGCCAATGTAAAAATACAGTTGGTCTAGAAAAAAAAGAGGTGAATTTCTTTACAATCATTAGTTATATTTTATTAGTTATTGAGCCTCCTCAAGGCACTTGAAGCTCTACATGACACAAGAAACTTGGGCCCTGCTGGACAGGCCTTGTAAGTTAAGAAAAAGAGACACATAGTATTCCAGATGATCAGATGAGCCATAGATTTCAAAGAGATACGACTATCATTTGTTTTCTAAATGTAGTGTTAGGCATTTTTTGTCTTTGGTGGATTGACACTGATGGGCTTCATGGCAGCCTGAAGAAGGAATCTGAATGAAGAGAATGAGTGCTTGTTTGGGACAGAAGAATAAAGAAGGCTTTTTAATATGAAGGAGCAGCATAAAAAGGGATAGAGACAATAGTGAAGGAGGTGGCAAAAAAGATGTTTAGAAGGGCAATTTGGAGGGGGTTAGCAATCTGTATTTGGGTCAGTGGTGGGCAATAACCGGCCAGTGGGCTGGATGCGGTTCCCACCGCAGTATTTACCCTGCACCTCCACAAGTATGAACACTTGCAGCTCTTGTTGGCTGCAGTGTGCTTTTCCTGGCCAATGGGAGCTGTGGAAAATGGACTCCGGGTCTGCACCACTTCCCACAGCTTCTTTGATTGGAAATTACGATGGACAACCTACGGGAGCTGCAAGTGCCTGCTCCTGTGGAGGCACAAGGAAGTAAAGTAACGGTAGCCTGCCAGGGGCTAACCCTGGTGAACCACTGCCATCTTATTACTCATTCCTGATATGGGTAGGGGGCTGGAGTAAGGAAGTGAGATCTATGACATTGGGTGGGGGAAGGAGAGAATTTTTAACAGCTTCCTCCCAGCAGCCTTAAGTGGATCACTGGTCCCAGAAATATGAGGCTTACTGCAAACCACCCTTTATTATCTCTTCTTTCCCATCTTATCCTTTCACTCTTCCTTATATTCTCTTTCCTCTTCTACTCCCATGTTGTTATGTTCTTTCTCCCTTTGCTCTATTCCCCTGTTGCTTCCAACCACACTTCTCCTTTCACTCTACCACAAGATATAGTAAGAGCAGCACTGTCTTGGTGTCCATAGGATTTAGCAGTGATATATTGGGATAGTGGAGCAAGATTAAAAAAAAAGCCTCAAAATGGAATGCACCACAATATTAGAGGGTATGTCTACACTACCTCCGTAGTTCGAACTAGGGTGGTAATGTAGGCAACCGGAGTTGCAAATGAAGCCCGGGATTTGAATTTCCCGGGCTTCATTTGCATAAAGCCGGGCGCCGCCATTTTTAAATGTGTGCTAGTGGGGACTCCGTGTCGCGCGGCTACACGCGGCACAGACTAGGTAGTTCGGACTAGGCTTCCTATTCCGAACTACCGTTATTCCTCGTGAAGTTACTCGTGAAGTTACCGTTACTCCTTGATACTGTGAATGTGCCAATCCAGAAAAAATAGTTTAAAAGATTGAAAAGCAAGTTTCTCAGACTCTGTTCTCTTAGGGTATGTCTACACTACCACCCTAGTTCGAACTAGGGTGGTAGTGTAGACATACCTAGAGAGGCTTTGGAATTGTTGCTCCATGAAGCAAGAAACAGACTGGGAGTGAACCACAGGCCACCTGGATGATGAAAGGGGGAAATGAAGGAGCTAAGGGCTATGTTAGAATCATGGGATGGATGGATGGATGGTGAGAAATAAGGTGACTGGAGAGCTAATCGCATGGCTAACAAAATGCTATCTGCCTATTGGATATTTATGGAAGGACAGTGCACCAGTCACAGTGGAAGATGAGAAGACAGTAAGAATGATGGGTTTTCCATATTTGATTATTAACATGAATTTGGATTTGTTCACAGATAAGCATGTTTTAGTGCCTTGTTTCTTAAACTGTGTTCCATGGTGTCACGGGGTACGCCCCTGGCGTGGGGTGCGCCCCTTCCCTTACAGGCCCATTGCCCGCTCTACAGGGTGAACACAACCCTAGTAGTCCCAACATAAAAGTTCGTGCCCCTCTATCAGGGTACCTATGGCATTAGAGGCCTAACCGCTCCGAGAAGCCTCTCCTGGCCCGGGGTTGATTATCCAGGGCAGGGGAAATGGGCGGTGGGGAACCCAGGCCCTCCCTCTCCACCGGGTCTCAGCCCAGGGCCCTTTAGGCAGGGCCTATGGCTCCTGCCCGCTCAATGGGGAATCCGGCCGCTACAGGCCAAGTTGCGCTTTGAGCCCTTTGCTCTGGGCTGCTTCCTACCCCGCCCTGCTCCCCTGGGGCCCATTCGCCTCGGTACCTGCCGGGGTCGCAGGCTTGACCTGCCAGGTGTATGTAGACAGGCAGAGGCTGCTCCAGCAGCAGTCCCTGTCTGGGGGTGGGATCTCAGCGGGGAGCTGGGCCCCCCAGTAGACAGGGGCTCCTGCTTGAACAGTCCATGGCCATCCCTGGCCGCTGTGAGCCGGGCTGCTGCATTCAGTGCGAGCTGGACTGAACAGTTCTGGCTCGCGGTGGTCTAGGATACTGCACCTCTGCATTTTAAATGTAGAAAGATCCCAGCAGCTCTTACTACATTTAAAATGCAGCACCAGCCAACTCCAGGAACTACTCCCACTGCAGTTTTGCAGAGGTTCTGCAGAGTGGCCCTTACCAACTCATTGCACAGTTGATACAAATTGTATTGACTACATGATTAGCCAGATAACCACAATTTAATATCCTTAGGAGTAGGAATAAAAAGAACTCACAGGTGTGCCGCGACCGTTTGAGGAAAAGTAACGGCCGCTAGAGCCGCTGAGACGCAGCCGGTGGTGCGAAGCGTAGAAGAGGTGAGCGAGTGTGACGCAGCAGTGACGCAGCTGGAAATGAGACAGGGCTACCTGCGTTCCTCCTCACGTGCTCCTGTGCCCGGCTTGCAATCACCTGGGACAGCTCTGCGCCTTGGTTGCACCCCTTGACAGAGAGGAGGAGCATTGCAGGGCCAGCAGCAGGGCCCGCTCTGATTGGTGTAAGGAAAAATAACGGCCGCTAGAGCCGCTGAGACGCAGCCGGTGGTGCGAAGCGTAGAAGAGGTGAGCGAGTGTGACGCAGCAGTGACGCAGCTGGAAATGAGACAGGGCTACCTGCGTTCCTCCTCACGTGCTCCTGTGCCCGGCTTGCAATCACCTGGGACAGCTCTGCGCCTTGGTTGCACCCCTTGACAGAGAGGAGGAGCATTGCAGGGCCAGCAGCAGGGCCCGCTCTGATTGGCTGTCTCCGCTGCTGGTCTGAGGATCCTGCCTGTCAGGGGAGAGAACTGCCCTACAGCCTCCACACCAACCAGGTCTTTGCACTGCTGCTTTTAGCCCTCACTTGTTATCCAGGACACCTGAGGGGGACAGATACAATGTTCCTTCTTTGTTGGACAACTTTTTTTTATTTAATGGATAGCGATTGACAGGTTATGTTTGGGATACTTAGATTAAAAGTGTGTGTGTATGGTGTTGTTGGTTGTCTTTTTTTCTTTGCTCAACCAAAAACTCTGTTCCTCATCAACAAAAATTATTGTTTGGTGTTCCCTGGTCTTAAAATGTTTAAGAAACACTGTTTTAGAGCATTTCTCCCCCAAGAAATCTATTCCATTTAATTTTCTTTAAGGATAAGCTCCTAACATGCCTCTGAAATTGAAGGCACTGATTTCCATGTGAAACGGGAACAGACGAGAAAGGTATTTTGGACTCACATGCATCATGGATCTTGCTTCCATCTCTATCTATTTTGAGGGAAGGTTTTATTTCTGTGATCAGTAGGGTTGCCAAGTTTTGTTGGACATATTCCTGGACGTTTCATCATATCACATAACCTCTGATAAAAGATTAATCTTTAATTTACAGAGACTCCAGGACAATCCTGGAGGGCGCCCTGCCACTAGCTGGTTCAAATCAGGCCAGCAATGTGGAGTATTAACTTCAATTAGAAGAATACTTGGCTTGGACGACTTTAAAAAAAAACAAACCAAAACAACCAAAAGAAAAACAATACTATGTGTATATTTACTTCTGAAGAAAATAAAGTATCCTTTGATTAAAAGAAACAGGAGGTTTCCCAGCCTGCTCCCAGCTGGCTTAAAACAAAATAGTTTTACTTTTTCACTGAGAGTGACCTCTCTGGGAATGATCCAGTTTTGCTTTGTTCAGCTATTTCCTACTTAGCGGGGATTGGTTTCTTGAGGTTTCCACCCTCTCCACAACTATTCCAGCTTCATTCAGAGGTGAAAGTAACTTAAATTTTGGACGGGTACTGTCCTATTGCTACTCTCGCCCCCTGGGGGAGGCAGTCAGGGCAGGAGGTTGCGGGGATGGTTGCGATAGGACAGTGCCTATAAGAAATTTAAGTGTGGGAGACCCAGGGCAAGGTTTTGGGGTGTGTGTGGGTGTAGGGGAGCTCAGGGCAGGGGATGGGTTGTGGGCAGTGCAGGAGTAAAGGCAAGGGGATGGGACTTGGGAGGTGTGCAGGATCAGGGCAGGCGTTGGGGAATAGGGTGGGGGATGCAGGCGTAAGGGCAGGGGATGGAGGGCTTGGGGCAGGGGTGGTGGATGCAAGAGTCAGGGTATGGGATTGTGGGGTGTGGGATGGTTTAGGCCTAGGGCTGCCGGGGTTGTGGAGTGGGGGGGCAGGGGCTCAGGGCTAGGAGAGCGGCCACCGTGCTACCTGGCTGTTTCAAGCACCAGGGCTGGAGCCAGGGTGCATGTGCAGTGCATGCACCATCTGGGATGGTGGCAGCATCCAGAGCCCTGGTCAGTCTATTATCAGTGCAATGCACCAGGGCGCTCCAGCTTCCTTTCATCTTTGAGCTTACTTTAGATCAGTGATTCCCAACCCACATCCCACACAGCTGCAGCCTATGTGACACCCTCAGGGCAATACAGGCAGTGTACATATTTTGTGTGGCCGTGGCTCACATTAGAGATATTAAATTTAGATTAATCAACTAATTGAATAGTCGATGGAATTTACATCGACTACTCGATTAGTCGATAAGTACGCCTCCACCTTTGAAATGTACAAGAGCCCCCCGGGGCTCTTGTACATTTCAAAAGCAAAGTGCGCGGGGAGCCCAGGGTGAGCAGGGGGCTCAAGCAATTACCCACTGGCTCTCTGCTCCCTGCTTTTGAAATGTACGAAAGTCCTGTGGGGCTCTTGTACATTTCAAAAGCAAAGTGCCTAGGGAACACATGGCCAGCGAGGGAGCCAAGCAGTCCCTCCTGGTCCCCAAAGAGGGTCCTCTCTCTAATAGAGGCAGCATGAGAGGCAGGGAAGCGATTAGTCGAGTCACTAGTTGACTATCTGATAAGCATATGCTTATCGGATAGAAGACTAGTTTACTAGTTGCTTACATCCCTAGCTCACATACCGCAGAGAAAGCTGCATATGCGTCCCAATGGTAAAGAGGTTGAGAACCACTGGTTTAGATGACAGATCAAAAGCGGACTCAACAGTCAGAATAAAATTTAACCATCCTAGACTTTCTTTCACAACATTCCAAATTCTGCCCAACAAAGGACAGATGGGAATATTAGGTGAAAAAATTTAAACCAAACTAACATCTCCCAGGTTTAGGTTTAGATAATGGAACAGGTCAGGTAGGAATAAATGGTAAGTTTTCAGAGTGGAGAGAGGTAACTAGTGGAGTCCCCCAAAGGTCTGTTCTGGGACCAATCCTATTAAACTTATTTATAAAGGATCTAGAGAAAGGAGTAAATAGTGAGGTGGCAAAATTTGCAGATGGTACCAAACTGCTCAAGATAGTTAAGACCAAAGCAGATTGTGAAGAGCTTCAAAAAGATCTCACCAAACTAAGTGATTGGGCAACAAAATGACAAATTAAATTTAATGCTGATAAATGTAAAGTAATGCATGTTGGGAAAAATATTCCCAACTATACATACAATATGATGGGGACTAATTTAGCTATAATTACTCGAGAGAGAAATCTTGGAGTCACTAAGTGTGGAGTGGCTTCTGTTTGTCTTGAAATGCATGACAGGAGAGGGATCACGTAATGATTCCCTGTTCTATTCACTCCCTCTGGGTATCTGGCATTGGCCACTGTCGGCAGACAGGATACTGGGATAGATGGACCTTTGGTCTGACCCAGTATGGCCGTTCTTATGTTCTTAAGTTCTCTGTCCCAGCATAAATGGGAAAAAGGACTTTCATACAACAAAAGCCTTTTTTTGGTTTTGATTAAAGGTTACACTAAGGATTCCTTTTCTCTGGCAACTATGCAGGGAGAAGCCAAAGATCCCCATCACACATTCCACAGAGAGGAGGGGATAACACCTGTGCTCTCCTGGTCAATGTTTCTTTTCTTAAGGCTAGATTTTACCAGAGGTACTGTCTGAGGCCACGTCTATGCTTACCACGCCAGATATCGATCTTCTGGCACTTGACTTAAGGACTCACTAAATCAAACACTGAGGGTGCCACCAGCTGGTGCTGGTACTCCTAGGTTCACAAGGAGTAAGGGAAGTTGAAGCCACCGCTGTGGAGATGGTGCCACGTCTGGCTTAAGGCTAAGTTATGTAGCTGGAGTTGTCTACCATAAGCTGATCTTCCGGGTCTAGTATAGACCTGGCTTGACATGTTAGAGAGGCTGCAGAGGGGTCATGAAGCAGCCAAAGCCCTGCTTCACAGAGCTGACAGCAAGGGGTGGGCAGGGGAGGTCCATGTGTGGGAGGCGCGGGAATTGAAGATTTCATTGTGCAAATCTGCTGGGACCTTCACCCGATAGAATAGGGCAGCAGGAGCTTTGACAATTGCTTTCACCTTATAGCAGTCACACAGTTGCTTTGCTGCAGTTCCATGGGCAAAGCAGGCAGTGCTCTTTCTGCCCATGTCCTCACAAACTACCGCTTTGCCAAGCTCAGCTATTCAGGGTTTCCTCGGGAGGATAGAATTTAGTCCATAAGGATAATAAAAAAGAGCTGAAGTGTTTTGGTTTTATTTAAAAGCATGTAAAACCCATATATTGCAATGAGGTGCAACTTGAGATATAGACTGAAATTCCGCTCACCTTGCAGTATTGTGAAGTTCTTGATGAGCTGTCCATGTCTGGAATCTACCAGCTTCATTTCTTCCATAATTAGTGACAAATTTGCAACTTCCACATCTAATCTTGATCTCATCACATCCTGTTGCATCCTGAGAGATGTAGAATCTAAACGAATATTGGCAAGTGTGTTGTTCATAAAAGTCAGGTCATCTGTGTGTTTACTTAAGGTGTCTGTACAAGTTGTCCTGACCTCATTGAGATTGCTAGTCAGTGTCCGCAGGTGATGTGCAGTGTAGCTGATGTTGCTAATGATATTAACTATATCTGTCTCAAATTGCTGAAAGCGCTCTTCTAACTGGTTAAACTTGGCAGAAGTTCTGTTCTCATAATCTTTATGGTGCTCCTGCAGCTCCTTAAGATTTTGTTCATTGGCTTGAGCGACTGTGGTGATGTTCTCCATTTGCCCACTGAATGAGTTAAGTTGACTATTCATTTCTTCAAGTGTATCATTATTAGCTTTGGCCAATGCTGAGTTGTTGACTGCTAACATCTGTAAATTTTGCACTTTTTCCTTAAGCCAATCAGTGTCCTTTCGTGCTTGAAGGACAACCTGTTGCAGATTTTGAAAGTCATTCTTGATTCTTTGGATAGCCTGACTTGTATCATCCACAGACCTCTGCAAAATACTGATAAGATTCCTTTGTTGAACTTGCGTCAGATTTAAGTTGTTTAAATTCATGATGGCCACATTATGAGAATGCATTTGGCTTTGCAAATTTGTTTGGATATTACTTGTGTCTTGCTGGAGATTGTTGATATAACCAGTGTATGCTTGGAGTGTTTTATTGACAGTGATGATCATGAAGGAGTTGCTGTCCAAGACCCCTTTCATTTGGCTCTGCCTGTCATCTAATACACTTCCAGAATCTTGCAGCTTCTCCAGTGTATCCTTGTTTTTGGTGGTTTTCTCTGCAATCTCCTGAAGCTGCTGGCGAAGAGCCAGAATGTCAGATCTGAAGCTAGAAAGTTCTTTGTTAGTGCTCATATCTTTTTCTCCAGTTTGGTCATCTATTAAAAAGGGAAATTTTCAAAAGCATTAGCTTTGCATTGTTTTCTTTTTGTAAACACAATATCAAAAGACTCTTTCCAGAACTGTAAGTGCTGTGTCTAAGAATGGTCAGGCAATTAAAGCATTACGTTGGTGAAACATTCTATTGTCACTTTTCTAAAACTAATGCTGTAGGGTCTAGTTCTGCCCCTAGATCAAGGGTGGGCAATAAGCCAAACATGGTTCACCAGGCTGGGCCCCTGCTGCGCTGCTGGTGCTTTATTTACCTGCGCCTCTGCAGGTACGGTTGTTCGCAGTTCTGGTTGGCCATGGATTGCCATTCCTGGCCAATGGGAGCTGCGGAAAGTGGTGTTTAACCGGTTAACTTATTAAATGGGATTTTACAACCTTAATATGCAGATTCCTAGACAACCTGTCCATCAGACAGATCTGTGACGATAAGATCAACTCATATCCACTGCTATATCTCCCACAATGATACTGTACAAGGACATGCAGATAGGGTTCCTTATATGGCTTTTGGTTATGTGGAGATTACCTAATTTCTTCAGACCACTCTCCACTTCTGTGAGTTTCTCAGTGTATCTTCTATGGGATGTCTCCATGCCACCTGTAACATTGTCCATTTTTTCTACAACTGGAAAATTGAGAACAGTCTTAATGGGCGTTTACATTTGTAATTTTTGTAGATTTAGTTGTGAGAAGTTCCAGCTATGAGATATGGTGTAAGTAATGAGATTTTCATAACAAGTCATATAGAAGATCAATAAATGAAAGTGTAAATAATGAAAAAAAAACCCCAACCAAGGATAGAATTACCTGGCTTTGCACTTAACTCCAGAGTTAAAGTACTCTGAATAATATCAGAACAGTGTGTTCCTTTCTGCTCACATAATTGTGCACTCTGCTAAAAAGTTAACCACTATGTTTGGATCAAATATTTATTTTGATAATAAACAGATTCATCTCATGAATGAAGAGTCGTCTGAATTTTCCTCTCTAATCAATTTATTTTTATAATATTTAACCGCAAGCAGTGCCTCCTTGTCTACTGGAGGTGTGTTGGATGCTTGAAGCTTGTTACACAACTAGAAGCAGATTCCTTCTTACTCTCCTCTAGGCCATTTCGATTCAGATGGACCAAATAATTTTCTGACCCTTTTAATCACTATGAACTGCATCTTAATTACTATGTGTGGAACCTATAGATCATATATAAGATGCTGCTCTTAAATAACATCTTCTGAAAAGTCACAAATCCTTGAAACCTCTTGATAACAACATCAGGTCATTGAATCAAACAATGGCTTTAAAATAATTCTGATTTGCAAGGGTTTAAACTGTGTTTGTTCAGCCCAGCCTGGATGTTTGGCTGTTCCCAATTTGCTCTTGGCTTGATGAGGTTGGAGTTATTTTCCTGGCAGTGATGCATTCTGTTGCTTTTTATGGCAAGAGTAAGGGTAAGAAAGAAGGAGAGAGCCAGAAATGATGAGTCCAGAAGGCTCAAAGTGCTAAATATGTATTTATAAATGGTTACAAGCAAGGGAGGAAATTGAATGCTTCAGAAGCTAGATTCTGCACTGATAGAGTTGCCAACTTTCTAATCACACAAAACCAAGCACCCTTGCCCTGTCCCTTTCCCTTCTTTGAGGCCAGCCTGCCACTCACTCCATCCCCTCTCCCTCAGTCATTTGATATCTTCCACCCTCACTCACTTTCACCTGGCTGGGAAGGGGTTGGGGTGCGGGACAGATTGTGGGGTGCAGGTTCCAGGAGAGAGTTAGGGTGTAGGAGGGGGCTCAGGGTTAGGGCAGCGAGTTGGGGATGCAAGAGGTAGGCCTGGGAGGAAGTTAGGTGCAGGAAGGGGTTCCAACCTGGGATAGGAGACTGGAATGTGGGAGGGGTTTGCAGTAGGGATGTCAATGTGTAGACGATTACATGATTAATCAATAAGCCTGGGCTTATTGGTTAATCTTGTTGACTACATGCATTCCTCCCAATTTTTGCCTCTGTATCAGAGAAAGCAAAGGGTTGGGGGGGAGCTGGTGCCGATACACGCAGGTGCTGATACACGAGCCATGCGTATTGGCTCCTGTGGACCTGCCTGCCACCCCCTTTGCTTCCTCTTTCAGTCGCAGGGGGGAAGCACAGGCAGGAGCCGGTGCTGGGGGAAGCCAGTTTAAAAGCTGGTTCCCTCCAGCAGCAGCTCCATGGTGCTGCCTGCGAGCTTGGGCCCGCTGCGGACAAAGGATACTCCGTGACAGCAGCCCCTGTCTGTGGGGGCTCTCAGGTGGCACCATGGAGCTGGTGCTGGGGGGAACTCGGATTCCTGCAGACAGGGGCGGCTACCACCCCATGCAGCTGCCTCTGATACAGAGACAGAATTGTGGGGAGCAGGAGGCTCCCTGGGAGTGGGGACGGGAGCGCACTGGCTGTCAGCCCCACCTCCAGGGACTATTGAGTAGTCGTGTAACTGATAAAAGTTCATGAGGTTACACAACGATTTAATTGCATGATATTTAACATCCCTAGCTTGCAGTGAGGCTCTGGCCAGCAGGCACTAACCTCAGTTGGCTCCTGGAGGCAGAGGCATGTCCAGCTCCTAGGCAGAGGGGCCAGTGGGCTCTGCACACCACTTGCACCTGCACATGCCACCCCTGCAGCTCCCACTGGCCATGGTTTCCAGCCAATGGGAGCTGTGGAGCAGAAGCCTGGGATGGGGACAGTGCGTATCGCTCTTGTGGCCTCCTCAGTGTCCAGGAAGCAGAGCTGCTGGCCACTTCCAGGAGCCATGAGGAGAAAGGGCAGGCAGGGAGCCTGTCTTAGCCCCCCTTCACTGCCAGCTGGACTTTTAGCAACTTGGTTGGCAGTGCTGACTGGCTCCACTAGGGTTTCTTTTTGACTGGGTGTTCCAGATACCTGGCAACCATATGTCTTGGCCTTGAAGTCCAAACCTAGTATCAGTTTGGTGTTTGTGAACTCAAATCACAGTGAAAGCCTGAAGGCTCTGTCCTATACCCAAATTATTTGGACTCTGGACAGAGAGGAGCTGCACCATACCAGGTGGGGATCCACAAGACATTGTGCTGCATTGCGTCACTCCCCCAGTCTCCTTGCACGCTGGACAGGTGCTGCAATAGGCCTTTGGATGAGCAGTGACACCCAAAAGGAGATGAAGGACCTTGGGGGAATATGGACAGGGTCTCGTGTAGGTAGCAGAGAAATATGAAGAGACTGTGCATATATGTATGGAGTGTAGGTTTATGGAATTCTGTGCTTGGACTGGCCCTCTCATGGGGGGATTAAAAAGTTAAGGACCGCTTTTGTAATGCTGTGGATGAGCGATCACAGAAGCCAATGGACACTGCCTCAGCTTGTCCACTAATCAAGCATGAATTGTTGAAACCCCACCAGGTACTTCCCGGAGCAATGGTGAGGCTCAAATGCATACATGGGGATAAGAAACTCTGCCCGAAGGCACAAGAGCCTCTGAAAGTCCGTAGTGAATTGTTTGCCTTGTTCCTTCACGTATCTAGAAACCCCAGAGGGAAGGAATCCAATCCCTAAGGAATGAAAAAGAGCCATTAAACTCTGAAGGATTGGGAAACACTAGACAGGAAGATACAAGCCAGAGAGAAAGTAAAGAAAGCAGAATACCCAGAGAGATGAAGGGAGAGGGGAAAGAAGATAAGAAAACAGTCTCAGGAGAAAAAGATACATGAGCTCATTAACAGTGATCAAGCAATTACTTGCGTGGAGCCTTACTGAAGTTCTTGAATCTCCAAATTAATACCTTTCCATAGCAAAAACTGGCAATTACATACACACACACACACACAAATCTCAACCAATCACTATTCTAATATCAAAGTTTCATAGCTGTTTGAAAGAGAAATTTCAAAGTTTGTTTAGTGTAAACTATGTCAAGCATGCAATTAATTATGGTAACTGACATTTCATGCTGCAATAATATTAAAGCTGAAAATAAAATAAATCCATTCTCCTCTCCATCTCTAATAGTTGGAGCTCTTGCTTGGATTCTCATCTGAAAGTGAAACACCATGGCACATATGGTACATACCTTTGTATCCCAGAATGGCTACTGTTATTGTTAGCAAGGCACACAAAATATATAGTAGAATGATGGAGAACTTCAGTGCCCAATTATTTTTACATTTGGTACATTGAGTCCCCTCCTGAATACCTGGAAAAAAAATGGGACTTTAAGAATCAGGTCAGAGAGTAAATTTTAACTTTCCTTGTGGTTTTTTTTTTTTTTTTTTTGTCTAAAACACATAAACAGATTATATGTACACAGACTTATCTACACTGCAAGTGCTGGTAACATTCCATGGATTTAAGGCTCAGTGTAGCCCTACTTTAGTCATATGGTCATTTTAATGTCTCAGATGAGTATTAACTAGATTCAGAACACCCCGCATGTTATTATCAATCATAGGTGTGTGCACGGGGTGTGCCGGGTGTGCCCGGGCACACCCTAATGTCTCAGGCTGGCTAGCCCGAGCCATTTTTGAGCCCTGGGCCCCAACTGGCCTGGCAGCACAGCACGGCCCAGCAGCACGGCACGGCGCCCCTGAGGCACCCAGTAACACCCCCACCCAGCACGGAGCAGTCCCCTTGAGGTGCCTGGGAGCGCCCCCGCCCAGCATGGCAGCACCACACGGCATCCCTGAGGCGCCTGGGAATGCCCCTGCCCAGCCCAGCAGTACGGCGCAGCACCCTTGAGGTGCCCAGGAGCACCCGCACCCAGCCTGGCAGCACCAGGCAGCGCCTCAGGGGTGCCCCCACCTGACCCGGCAGCCCCACGCAGCGCCCGGCCCTGCAGCACCATACGGCGCCCTGGGGGTGCCGCGCCCTGGCCCTGCAGCTTGGGTTGGGGCTCTGACTCCAGCCCTGCAAGCTATAAGGCAGAAGCTGAAGGTAAGGGGTGGGAATAAGAGGAAGGGGCTTTTGTAGTGGGGGAGGGTGGAGGAGGGAGAAAGGGGAAGAGGTGGAAGGGGCTTGTACGGAGGGGGAAGGGAGAGGGGGAAGAAAGGGAAAGGTACCAAAGGGACAGGGTAGAAGAGACACAAATGCTAGGGGACGAAGTGGAGACAATGAGGAAAAGGGCAGGAGGGGAAGTGTCAGTGGGAGGGGGGACAGGGTGATGCTGGAAGAGGAGAGGGAAGGGCACTAGAGATTGGAGGGGGAGGTGCTGGGAGAAGTCTTGAAAGAAGGGGTGGGCATGAGGAAGGCGGGGATGGAGTAAGTCATATGTGAGGGCACAGGGGCATGAGGGGAATGGGGGCAGAGAGTGGTGAGGGGATGGGCATCAGGGAAAAAAGGGCAAAGGGAGCAGGGACAGTGAGAGAAGGGGGAGGCACCAGGAGGATGCAGGGGTAAGGGAAGGTGCAGGTGCCAGGGGATTCTGGGGGTAAAGCAGAAGGGCAGACACCTGCAGGGGAGGGACCAGCACCAGAGGAGAGAGGCGAGGGAGGTGTTAGACGAAGGGATGAGATGGGGTAGCTCACATGATCAGAGTGGGGCTACTGGAGGAGCGGGCACAGGGGGGAGAGAAGGGCTGGTGGAGGAGGGGCAGGTCTCAGGAAGGCTGAGGACAGTGAGAAGGGCAGGAGTCAGGACAGCAGCGGAGGGTGAGGGGTTGGGGGGCAGCAGGCACCAGGGGAGTTGATGGAGCAAGGGGAGGAGACATGGCAGCAGAGGGGAAAGGTAGATATTTATTAATAACTTGGGTGCCACAATGGCACATCCAAACAAGCCACATTAATTCAGTACTGGTGCACAACACAAAATTCATTCTGCTCATGGGAGGAAACTCT